CGCACAGCCTCGACAAGAATGAAATATTTTTTGGTATTTTGAAATGTGTGTCAAGTTTTTTCCAATTTTACCATAAGTTTACGAAAAATTTACTCGGAACAACAGTATGTCCTCCACCAATAAGTTGTACAATATCAATTGCAAAAAATTGAAGAAGTATAGGGGCAATACCAGGAGAAACATAAAAAGTTTTTTCAATTCCCAAATATTCAAAAATAGCAAAAGATCCAGGCATTTCAAGAAAATCGGCAATTCCAAAAGAATATTTCTCTTGATGATTTAGTTGAAGAATCCAATCGAGAATACCTATATATTCCTCTCCAATTTTGACTTGAGGATTTTTTATAAAATCTTAAAATTAATATTAGATATCTCCCAATAAGCTGGATTAAATTAAATAGAAAAATTAAATCCTAGATATCTAGTAATTTTTCAAGAACCGCTAACATTATAAAGCTCCAAGGTATAATGTTAACTCACGCCCCACATGTCAGCAAAGGCCTGGACATTAACCCAGCTCCCATCCTTTTTTACTCAAAAAAGTTTATCAGGAATTTCATACCTTCAAAATTCCGAACATATATTCTTTTGAATTTTGATAATTTATGTAAGCTTCCTTTATTTTGTTTTCAAAATTCAAATGACCGTAGTCTATATACATTCTAATAATTCGCAAATCGTTTGGCATTGGGTTGAACTTTATGGGGATACCGCCTATCTCTTGACTATAGACATTCAAATCCTATAAAATAAATTTTATTTCACTGTAAGAACTGCCGACAAAGCGACGTAATGTTTAGCCTATTTGCCCGATATCTCCTTTGTTAGCCATACCATTTCTGTGCTAGGCACATTTCTGACCGCTTCTCCAATAGTAGGGTTTCACCGGAGTAGGGTTTTCACCAATAGTAGGGTTTCACCGCAGTCGAAAATTTTGAGAATTTGTGTGACCAAGTAGCTAGATTTCTTCATTTTCTTGCGCCGCAGGCGAAAATTTTGAGAATTTTGGAAGGCCAATCGGGGAAAGCCAATCCATATTTCTTAAAAAAAACTAATCCTTAGGGGTGTAAAAAAGTTCCGGTTTGCCCGGAACCGATTTGTAAACCGGAGCCGGAACCGGAACCGGAACCAATTTGAGTTCCGGTTCCCGGAACCGGAACCGGAACCAAAAAAACACCGGAACTTTCCGGAACCGGAACCGGAACTTCCGGTGAAACTCTATCCAATAGCTTATCCTAATCATTTCATTCATTCTTTAAACCATTTACTTATTTTTAACACTAATTTCTCTGTGCATATTTCTAAATTTCTGAATCTTTGAACCTCTCCTAATCTCATCCCGTTTAGTAAAAATAAATAACCAACCACAATGTAATGTTCAGATAAAACCTTAGCAAGCATTAACTGGAATTTTTAATTAATATTAGGTAATTATTACTAGATTTGAAAATTGGGTTAAAATTTTTAGGAAATTTTAAGATTAATAGTTAAACAGCTGGGAGCGCGGTTTTTCACTGATCTCCTTCGTCTGTTCCTGCCCAGTTCACCTTAATACATTGTACATTTCTACATTGGATAAACTCTTATTCTTTTGCACGTCAACATCGGATAACTCTCGGACATAACATAGTCTATCATAGAGATAAGAGAATTTTTAAATATTTACATGTAATTGAACATGGGAGTAGTAAAAGTTATCAAAAATATACAAAGCCCTTTTCTTCGAAGTTCTTGAAGAACTTTCGGGAACATCTTCCCCTCCTTTTTCAAAATATCCATGCTTTTCTAATCCAGTTGCTACTTGATTTTTTTCCAAATTCCCTCCTCCACCAGAACAATCACATAAATTATCTCCCCTTTTGTGCCGACGTTTAAATAATTTTTCTTTTTCATTTTTATTATCTAAACATTTGCACTTCTTTCCGACAGAAATGTTGATAATAATTAACAAAAAGAAAATGTAAAAAATTAATTTTAAATAATACATTTTCTAAATTAATAAATATATTTTTTAATAAAAAATTAGAATTTTTTGTGAGGCTATTTTATTTTTCTTACGTTTCGGGAAGGTAAAAAAATAATTTTTAAAAAATAATGGTAATTTACCCCCCTAGTATTTCAAATAATTTCTTAATAGAAATGGGCCCTGCCGCATGTTAAATGCGCTAGACGGAAGCTAAGATTATGAGTATCTTAGTGGAAGATAATCATAATCAAAATTAAAATTTTCATATTGTAATTTTGGAATAAATTTTGGGGATAACGATGATTATTGTGGAAGGGTGATTATGGGAAATATATTTACAACGAATACATGTTGTAAACTAGATAGAGCCAAAAGCCAAGTTTTGGACGTTAACAACAATTTCAATTAAAAAACCATAAAATTTATTATTTTAATTTACCCTTTATGAAGCTGTTAAATAATTTAAAATAAAAAATATATTTTTAATTTAATGGTTAAAAAATATTTTTTAAAGAATTTTTTAAATGAATTAATTTTAAAAATAATTCAAAACTCAAAATTACATGCCGACAGGGCGTAATTCACAAAGGGAAAAATCTTTTGAAAAATGATCTTATGTACATATTTGAATAAATAAATACATAATAGAGTCTGATATTAATTACAAACTACAAAATTTAATTTAAAAAATATATAAAATTAAAAAAAAATTTTTTTATTTATAAGAGAAAAGAGTGCATGACGAAATTATTTCTAAACATAGTTTTTCTACGGAAAATCTTCAACAAAAAAATTCAATTTTGAAATAATAGGGTAAAAAAAGTGAGCCCTGAGCTTGTTAAATATTTATTAAAATTCAACAAATTATTATTTGCAATAATAATAGCAAATTATTATTGCAACTAAGATAAAGTAAAAAATGGTAGTAGTAAATACAGGTCAGTAGCAGGAATGGGACGGGTTGAGTTAAACGTCGAGTCGGATTTCGGATTGGGTTCTAAAAATTTTCTTCGGATCGGTTTCGGGTATCGGGTCAAAGGTTAATCCGTCCCATCCCTGTTCAGTAGTAAATATATATAATAAACTAATTTCCAGTTTAAGAAATCAGTCAAATGAATTTTGTAAGTCAAACAAATAAGTTATCCTTTAAAATAATCAACGTTTTAATAATTTCGTTATCAAATTTTATTTTACAATTAAAGAGACTTATTTTACATTTAAAATTCCAAATAATATTCAGTTGTTTTATTTATTTTATTTTTCAAAATTTCCCCCTAAAATATTTAATTAATACACCCAAAAAACAAAAAAAAAGTATTTTTATTTTCGAACACCTAAAATTTAATTATTTAATTTTAACTATTTTTTTCATTCTTTTTTTGGTCCTCATTTTGATTTTATTCCCAAAACAATTCTGTCCATTAAGTTTAATAGACAAATTCTCTCCCCCTCTTTTCCCAACTCTCAAAACTACTAAACTTAAGTTCCTTTGCCCATTCATTTAAGTATGCTTAACACTCCTCCATATTGAAGTAGAAAATAATAAAAAAAGTTTAAAAAGTTTTACAATTATTTTTTGTTCGTCCATTTCCTAAATTAGCTTTGTTTTAATGATGAATTTTTTGAACGGAATTATTTTAAATTTTTTGAAATTTCCTTTAAAATTTTTTAAAAATAATTGTCTATTTAATTTAAAATTTGTAATGTCCATTTTTATAAATTACGCTCAACTTACACTTTAACGGGAGACTCAGCTTCGATGCCTTTAGTCGATGTTGCAATGTGGCACTCTCGAGTAGCGAAACACTGGGGTCAAGCCTTGCTTATAAATCTCGTGCAAACAAGGCATCGGCACCAGGGCTGGACGCAGTTGCGGATTGCGTATTGTGGATTGCGTGTTTTAAATTGCGTGTTTTTTCGACTTGCGGATTGCGGCTGCAGAAAATTTTTTAATTGCGTCACTTACCCACTTACCCATTATTAAAAGATGCATATAAAATTCTTAACATCCCCTCTGTAAATTTAAGTCCATAAATAGTCTTATTTAATTTATTTTATTTAAATTGATAGTAGCTAGCTATATTTAATTTATTTATCCACTTTAATACATCATGAAAAATATATTTTTTTTGTTCCTACATTTCCATATTTACACAAGTTCCGATGAAAACATATACTTACATCACTTTTATAAATTAATTAGTTAACTGAGTAACAATTCATTATCTTTATTTTTTTATTAGAAAACATTTTATTATCCTCATAGTTTCCTCAAATTTATTTTAAAATTTCAAATGGGCAACGACCATTCCTCTAAAATTGTTGGAGGGAAAAGCAAGGACCATTTAAATGTTTCTGAAGAACAAAATCAAGCTGAAATCTCTCAGAGACGTTTATCTTCTTTTAATAAATTAAATCAACTTCCCTCAACCAAACAATGCAAATTAAAAACAAATAGACCTTTATCTCCTCAACATTTTGTTGATTCTCCCGATTTAAGTGAACAAACTTGTAGTAAATTTGATAAAAGAAAACAATCAGGTGAAAACTTAAGTGAAAGTTAAATTTTATATAAAATTACGAAAAAATAAAATTAAAATTGCGACAAAAATTGTAAATATAAGGGAGATGGTAGGTTGAAAAAATTACAAATAAGTCTCTCAGTTTCATATTATCTTGAATATTATTACTACATTGGAATACCCCTAATATGGCACGACGAATTTTGGTGTCACCTTTAGAGTTGGCAGATCCAGGGAAATCTTAGGATATCTGGATCCAATATCCGAACCGAAAATTTCCGAATGTTCAGACTTTTCGGTTCTGGTATCCGGATCCACCAACGCTAGTCACCTCACTATTAAATACACCCTCGGGCTGAAATCTCAAGTGCACATTATTCAGCTCTCTCCCACACCCAATTGAGAATTTAATTCCAAATCTATCCATCACCTAACATTTTATTTAAGGCCTAGTTTCACCCCAACCCTTCATTAAGCACTGCACTTCACCAAACTTATCTAGAAGTAGAAGGATGTCTTTAGCTGCAGTTTTATATGAAAAGAATTACTTAGCTTCAGAAGGGTTAATTAATTCTAATGGAAGACGACATTCCCGCGCAATTGTTGGAAATGTTCCTAGAAAATTGAGTTATAATGAGGAAGTTAATAATACAGGAAGTGAATGTTCTTTAGCAGAACATTTAAAATTATCTTGGTAAAAATTAATTTTTAAGGATTTAAAGTTGTAAAATTCTTTTAGTTATCAACTTCAAATATTGCAACAGAGTTGGCCTCGAATTAAATCACAAGGCGCTTTATTAACAGTTTTTCGGTAATAAAATAATAAAATCAGAATTTAATTTTACAAATCAGAATAATAATTTCTTTTATCTCTGATCTTACTAAAAATAAAGATTTTATAAGTTCTGATTTTTCTTAAATGATTTTACTTATCTTTTGTTTATTTTAAAATTTTGGTCTCTAAATTCTGATTTTAAATCACATATTTAATTAATCCATAAATTTATCTATTACTCTAATACTTTGCTACAAGGGATAATAAATAGACTAGGTAGGCAATTGGCTAATGGTCATAGCCCTAGATACAGACAAATCCGTAGACTGCAGTTATTTTTTATTCGGAGATACCCCGGCAGCAGCTATGTACGACATAAAGGATAAAGGATAATGATAAAAAAGGATAATAATAAAAGTAATAATAATAATAACGTAAAGGATAATAATACCTTTAGACTTATTGTTATCAGCATGAGAGAAGGTATAACTGAGTAAATAAATAATTTAAATACCTATTTTGATTTTAAAAATAATTGCCCACCTAATATACAAACCCCCTATCCTACAATAAATATTAAAATAAAATTTCTATTTTCAGTGATTTAACTCTCAATAACAGTTCTGCACGAGAAATGGTATCTAAATTTGTTAAATAAAAATAATCCCCCTTTCAAATTTTAGTTTCAAAAAATGTCTATTGTAGAGGGGTTTTTGTCTGGAAAATGTTGCGATCAAAAAGTTTTTATTCTTAAATATTTCACAAAATTTGTTAATATTTTAAGGAGCATTTACGTGTTTTAATTGAATTAATAGACTATTTAATGCAAAATTTAAACGGGCCTGTACGTTGTTGTCAAGTAAAAATATTTTTGAAAATTAAAGAATATTTTTTAAAAATCTAGCAAAAATGCCAACAAATTGGTGAAAAACATTTGATAATTTTTGGGGGTTCTTTGAACAAAGTAAGAATTTGGGACGATTTTGGAGAGTGCCTAAGTGATGCTTTTGCTAAAGTGAGGAACTTGTAAATTTAAAAAAAAAATATTTTTTTAAAACAGTCAGAGCCTGTCAGAGGAAAACGGGAAGCATTTAAAGCCTGGATTACGTTAACAACATTTCTGGTATTTCTTATGCTAAAAAAATATTTTTAAAATTATTTTTAGGTTGAATATATAAGAATTGGATATCTCCAACAATCCAAGAAAAGGTAATAATGAAAATTATTCTTGTTTTATATTGGAAATTTAGGTCCCTCGCTAGCAATTCTCTTGTCCCGCAAAAACAAAATGCTTCAGATTTTTAATGGTGTTCGGAATCTTAATTTTTAATTGCTTAGTTGCAATTATCTTTAGTCAAGTTTTAGCAAAATATAAGTAAAGGAACAGGCCAAAACGTAAAACGCAAAGTATCCAGTTCTTGATGATTTCCTTAACTGGTTGTTCTGTAAATTAGTGGTGTTCGGGTATCCCGACTCGGGAACATTTCCCGAATTTTTGGCCTCCCGATTCCGACTCCCGGTATCAATTCCCAACTAAGTCGGGAAATTTTTACACCCCTAAGAATGGCTTTTTTTTGATAAAATTTTATTTTTGAAAGGAACATCATTAATTTAAATGTTAAAAATTTTAATATTTATTTAAATAAATAAATTTTATTTAAAATTTTATTTAATTTTTTGTTTTATTACTTTAATTTAGTCGATAATTAAAATTATCTTTTTCTCTAACTTCCTTTAATTATTGTAAAAAAATTTATTTAAAAATATTCCACGTGTTAAATATAAAGACATGTCGATGGGGAGGTAGTATTGCTTGACAAGACCTTATCACATTCACTTAGTAAAGCAGCTAGGCTATAGCTATTTCTCTCCTTCGGACAGTCAAAAAGTTTATTCGGACTTCCTTATTATTCGGACTACCAAAGACTTCCGTATTTACAGTCCGTCTTTTTATGATAGGTGAAAAATAGAAACACCTTCTTTTACAGCCCTAGTCTGGAGAACTTTTGGCTGTATTGGAGAAAATACGTTATTTTCTTTGATAAATATTCCTAAGCTTCAACCCATTCGAAAATAGACAGGATCTTCATATTAAATAATATCAGGAAAACGGACTCTCTCCCCAACTATCTCAGACAGGAAAACGGACTCACTCCCCGACTCTATCTCAGACACAGTACCCATATCATTCGAATCATTTCAATATAGTGCTTTCATCCGTCCATTAATATAAATATTTATTCTTTAATTGCAGAAAATGTATTATTTAAAATTAATTTTTTACATTTTCTTTTTGTTAATTTTTATCAACATTTCTGTTGAAAGAAATGAAGGAAAAAATAATTTATTATTCCATCGTCGATGCAAAAGGGGTAATAAATCTGGGTGTTTTGGAGGTGGAAGTAATAGAAGGTCTAATCAACCAGGACAACGTGAAGGAAAGGCACATGTAGTAGAAGGAAGTGGAACTGAAGGAGGAAATTCGAAGAAAAGGGCTTTGTATATTTTCGATAACTTTTTCCGCTCTCACGTTCAATTACATGTAAATATTTTTTTCAGTTTACAAATTTAAAATCTTACGGACTATAAGCACTACCACAAAATCTATAGCTAATTCAGGACTGTCGGATCTATCAATTTTGGCATGACGACTTATCTCGTCATGCTTCATATAACGATACCAAAATCGACTTGGCTATTGCCTCCACCGTGTAGATTAAGGATATCTCTGCCTCAGTATCGACTCGTTTTAATAATCGCTTTATATCGCCTCAGATCCTTTTTTGACTCAAAACTTTCAAGCTGTTTTTTGTTATGTCCGAGAGGTGCCTAGATTTATCATGGCCTTGACCTTGAGCATCTTGCCTTCTAGTATACCTTAAGAATTTATTTTTGCGATCATTAAAGAAATAATTTCTTCCAAATTTAAACTTTATATTAAAATCTTTAGTTAATGCTTTCCAAGGCTTTATCTGAATTCTACATTGTGGTGAGTTATTTAAATAAATGAGTTTTTGATAGCTAAAGTGGTATTGAACATCCATCCACTATCCTTCTTAATGGATTGTTTATTTTGGAGGATTTTTATCGATGTTGGTACTCATAGAGTGGTTGCGGGTATTGTAAGGTTGAAGACGTATTCTTCAACTAATAATTTATTATAATATTTTATGAGGGCTGTAAATTTAAAATATTTAATGGAAATATAAAGAAAATAATAATTTTACAGGATATAATTGTTTATACTAAAGAAGACGGTGAAACTGTGGAGCTAGATCCAATTCCAAACGATTTACAAATTATTGAATTGAATATGAACAGAAAACATCTGCGTAGGGGAAAAGTTCCTGAAAAAGCTTATCTAGATTTTAAAGTTTCAGAAAAATATTTTGCTGGGATTGTTGAAGGTAACTGCATTTTTATGGCCTTTAAAGAATTGTAGTTAAGTAGTCTTTTTTATTAATTTTCTGACAATGTCGTTGGTGAGCCTCAAATCCTTGTTTGTTACTTTCAAGTGTAGGTTAACGAATGTCCGAGTACATAGTATGTCCGAGAATTATCAAAGATTACAACAAAGTTACAAAGTAGTCGAATGTTGATTGGGGTTGGATCAGATGACTATATCAGGGACTAATAGGGCTAGATTGATCCAACTATAAACTAATTGTAAGCTCACACTCCTGCGACACACATGACAAAAACCACGCGATCCATATTTTTATTTTTAAGATTTGATAAATAACCCTATTGTCATAATTGGAGATGAATATAGACATATTCTTAATTATCTTCATCAACAAAATTATTCCTTTGGAATCGCCGATTTTAATGAAAATGCTGGCTCTTTTGCTATTTTTGAATTTTTGGGAATTGAAAATACTTTTAATGTTTTTCCCTTTCTTATTTTTCCTGAATATCTTCAATTCTTTGGAATTAATCTTTTAGAACAAAATCGTGAAGGTTTTGTTATTACAGGTAAATTTTTGATGAAATTGTGAGTAAAGATAGTTGCTCTATTTGCTAGAGAATGGGCAGCTCTCTTAGGTAATAAAAAATATAAATTGAATACTTGTTGGGATTGGGTTCCGAAGCCTTTCGAGGATTATTCAAATTATATTCTTTAAATTATTTATTTACATTTAACTATTTACAAATAAAAATATATACATAGCGAAAAGAGGGAAAGGGGACAATTACAAGAGTCTGGCCAGAACTCACATAAACACTTCTAATTAGATATTAAGATAAGATGAATGACCATTTTGGATGAGTATTTATAGGGGACATTAACAGGTCAAGATTGGGGTAAACAAGTGAATAACAAATAATAATATAAGGGTCGGGAATTGTGATAAACTCTGATAACGGTCGGGATTCCTTTTAATATAGGAAAAGGTCAAAATATTTGTGCCTGTGAATGCACGTGAATACATCATTTATTTTTAGTTTGTTTATTTGATTAGGAGGGATGCAGCATTCCTTCCCCCTTTATTTGAACGTCCACGTTCAAAATTGTAGTTTAATTTTTTTTTTTAAAATGAGGGTAATTTAGGCTATTTTATTAATGTAATATATATTTTTTTTAATATTCTACAAGATTTAAGAATTTAATTTCCTCATCGTACAATTCCGAACGACGGTTTTTTTTTTAATACTTCCTTACAATTTTACTCCGACCAAGCTTTATCTTTAAAATTTTAATTTTTATTTTGATTGTCTCTCGTCTTGGCGACGGCTTTCAAATTACTAGTATACTTTTATTAATTATTGTAAAAGCTATAATTCGCTTTGAATTATTCTTTAGTTTTCTTCTTTAATGTTTCTTTTTTTTTTCAGCTTTTTTTTTTGCCAAATTCTCCGAAAAATTAATTATAGGGATATTACGTTGAAAAAGAAAGGGTTATGGGTTGTTTTACATGAGTACAGAAAAATTTTTGGTAAATAGACGGAAAACAAAGTGAGGTGAAATTTGGATAGTTAGCAATAAATGTTAAAAGGGGTTTTATTACAATCCAGTCAAACACTTTGTAGAAGAGCAGC